AACAAAATCAGGCCTTTCACAGAGGGCCAATGCAGTCGCTTTCATAAGCAATGAAGCTCTGCACCTGGGAGGGCACAAATGCCAAATGCTTGGAACATTATAACGAAAAACCATTTTCTCCTTCTTTTTGGGTGTTTAACTTCTCCTTAGTCCATCTGCATATTTTCTGTATGTTCAGTACCCCTAACTGCACGAACCTCTCCAAGTCCCCATTATTTCATTGGCAACTATTGCACTTCTGGTCGAATCAGTCACTACCTTAGACCTTAGTCCCAAACATTACCAGCTTCAGGATAAATTGGAGAGTTGACTGCTGGGGTCCTCTCTCTCTGGGACTGCCTACATCTCTGATCTCTCATTTTTAGATAGTTGACTGCTGGATAAATTGGATAGATGACTGCTGGGGTCCTCTCTCTCTGGGACTGCCTACATCTCTGATCTCTCATTTTTCTTGTCCACATTGACTAAGAAACGATCAAGGATCAGAAGGGAACAGAGAGGAAGAGCAAAGAGGGAAAAGTGGCTACTAATTACTGGCTCCAGAGAGAGGAAACTGGATGAGCACTTCTCACAGAAGAGCTGAAAGAGCTGCTGTGCCACCTGAAAACCAAAATATGTAAGGCTTCAACAGCTTCTCAATATTGTGGGTGCATTACCTGCTCATGGGGTGGGAAGACACTCACAGCAAGTACTAGGACATCATTGCAAGAGCTGCCATAAAGAAGTTGTGGTTCACAAGTCAAGCAATTAGGTCCTCAGAGTTACCACATTCCTGTCTCAGTGAGTTACATTACAGTGAAGCACATATAGTCCAGTTTTGTCACTGAGGACAGCAGATTAGAAGACAAGACTATTGGTGATATTTTGGCAAAGTCAAATCTGTAATTTGTGTGAAAGGGCCTAAACCACTAAAGCACAGATGAAGGGCTCAGCATGAGTGGCCTGGCTGAAAACCATACATTAAGGTTTGCCTTGGTTAGAGGCAGTTCTTCCTGCCCTCCTCCTGCTTGGGCTTAAAATCCCACAGACATTTATTTGTGGTCCACTGAATCTTATCTGTACCATTACCTAACCCCTGAAAGACAAGACACATTAAACAATTACTGCAATTTAAAAACAAAGAAACAAAAATAATTATCCTCATTTGCACAGCCATCTCCTTCTTTCCACTGCTTGTTTATTTCAGAAAACAGATCTACAAAGAGGTTGGGCATAACTGGGGAGACAGTAGCCTGGAAAAGCAGTTTTCTGTGAGAGAAACTGCTACTGGAGTGACATCCAGGAGACAACAAAGCAGCCATTCTCTGCTGCATAACACAGCAGAAGCCCAGAATGACACTTGCTCACTTCTCACTGCACAATTCTTGGGAGATGCGGACTCCTTGTTTTAGACATTAAATCAGAAGTACACAATACTGCACTACTGCTGTACAACCCAAAGAGATAACAGGATGCTACAAAGACATTGGAATACACTTATTTATAAACAAAAAAGCAGAGATGAACCCCAGTACTGACTCCCCTCCCCACCTCTGGTCTCCAGGCACTGGCCATTAAAAAAAATTAAAAAAAAAAAAAAGAAAACTTTTCTTACATCTGAAGCCAATTAGAAAATCTGTCCCCTGTAATAACCAAGAAGTAAATGTATGGAACAGTATCACTAGATGACTTTGCAGCTTCACCTGTATGGTTAACTCACTCTCCAAGTATGCCATATCTGCTAAGTATTTTCATTATCCTTACATGCTCTGTAGATCAGAATAAACAGCTCTTAAATCCATCTTTAAAAGTCTGGCAAACAGGTTAATCTCAAAACCAGTTAAATACAATATTCAACCCATTTATTTCTGTCTCCATTTATTTAAAAAACATTCATTCAAGGAATGAAAGCTAGGACTCTTGGTACAATACCAGGTATTATCTATGCTACCATACACTCTTTTTAGAAGAATGAAAAAGAGAGAATACATACAGCTTTAGAGTAATTTCACTTGCAACCACCTTAATCATAATAGCCACTCAAAATATCCACCATTGGAAAACCAATGCTAAAATAGTACATTCTCTTACTTCTTTTATTTGGAGCTAGAATGCTACTATGATTTTTTTAATTAAGCTTTTTAAAAAATATATACTTTTGTAGGACCAACCTACAACATGCAATTGTTTTAAGTGTGCGACAGCTTCATGTGGAAAAGGCTAAGATGTAAAGAACACTGTTGTAGCCCAGCAGTGAGATTTGGGTATGGTATGATTTCCTACCCTCTGGGCAAAAGGTTAAGTCACATCCACACTGATGAGACCAAACAAATATTCAAGCCAGAATTTAAGCAGAACATTTCAGAATGGAGTGTAAACACAGCCAAAGAAATGACAAGCTGAGTGTTAACACCATACAAACAAAGTGCACTGGGATGCGTGCACTAAGCAAGCACTTGTGAACACTTGCTGGTCTGCATAACAGTTACATTTATTGCAAAATGACATCTGAAACTGATATTCACCAGCTGCTCACCTATACTCACACCAAAGCAGCTGCTCTTTAAATTACACTGGGAGACCACAAGCACTACCTTAGCCCTCAACTGTGGGAAATGAGCTCAGACTCTACAAGTAATTAACTGGGCACCATATTCTCACCTCTTCCTCAATTTCACCAGGAGTGATTAGGCCAATAATGGTCCCCTGTGATGCACTGCAACAAGGCAATTTAGGATATTAACGTGTCTAAAAAAGCATAAGTCTTCCTAATGGAAGGCTAGGCATTTTAGCCATCATGTGGAAGGAAGGAAAGGAGGGCCTCTCCTAAGGTACTTTGCTTTCCTAAGGAAAAATAACACAGGCAAATACTTTTGTTCACTGGTATGCCTTCAACAAGTAAGTCCTTGTACATTACATAACATTTTTCATCTCCCATACAGGAAGTCTGATCACAGCTTATGCAAATAAGTGATAGAAGCATTCCCAGAATAAAAGCAGTCCCCTTTTTAGGAAGTATGTTTACATAGGATTTCAAGCTGATTCTGAAACCCCAACTTGCCACAGATTTTATCTTAATTGCCTACTTAAATATTGTGCATTTGATCTCTGTGACACAATCAGGTTTTTATACTAGGCTAAGTATGGCTATTTCTCATATTTAAATTTTAACCCATGTTCTTTAAAAAATAAACATACAAACAGCTGTTTTTATTAAATTTGGCTTTAAGATATTTAAATGAGCCTTAAAAAGCAATCTTATTGTAAAATCTTAAAACCTTGATAAATACGTTTCTTTTATTCTTCACTGAAGTTTGGAAGATCAACAACTTTTAGAAATAGATCAGATCCTTTTTAAAAAGGGCATGATCACTTATTTGTCATAGCATATAGCAGTTTCTTAAATTTAAGAACTGAAAGTAAAATTGCTTTGTGTATATCTACATGTGTAAAAGTTAATTTCAAAGAGCAGCAATAGTGTCTGTGTTGGAAAAGAAGTTCTCCAAAAACCACCTGTACCAAAAGGCTCATAGGACTAAGCTTCAGTCTCCTTTGCCAGTGAGTTTAAGAAATAAAAGTCTGTATCTGTAGTTAGGCAACATCTGGGAAGTCTTCTGGAAATGTGAACTTCAGCTCGAAGTTGAAAGCAGTATCTAAACATTCTCCACTACTGACCTAAGGAGAAAAACCTCTTTTTAATCAAAACAGCAGGTCTCACTAACAACATGAAATAAGTTAAAATTAAAGAATTAAGGGTTTGGATCAAGCAGCCTAAGCCCTTACTGAACAAACATTGAACAGAAACCATCTATATTAGCTAAGAATTTTAGCATTCTTGAGGAGAGATGGGCAGCTTCTTTTCTGATAATTCAAATAACACATACATTTTAACCTTCTGAAACCTCTCAGGAGGATGCAGAGAACAACAATGCAGACTGTTACATGTTTGGAGACAGAAGTCCACAACTTTTAGAAGTACAACAAATTGTCGTTTGATATCGAAGGATCCACTTTCTGTTCTGTATGTACTGGACTGAAAAGAACATTTTTCAGTAAAGTTTTGCAGACCCTGCTGTACTTCACATGCCACATGTTCTTCAAACTTGCTTAAGCAGTTTCAAGTTCAAATGGTCTCTCCTCTGTAAATTACCACAAACCAAATAAGCACAAGCTGTTTGGAATTGCTGAAGAGCTTTCTGCAGGAAAGAGTGTGCTGCAAGCTAAAAAGACAAAGCTATTCCTGGAGTTGTAGAAAAAGTGCTGGTTTACATCTGTGTTGGAAATGGAAATAACCAGTCAACCTACTATTTCTGTTAAACTCATTCCCTATGACTCTGTCCAATGGAAAAAAATCCCAAACAAACAAAATTAACAGGTACTGAAGGAAGAGGCTGCTTCTATAGGCACAAAGATCACATGATGAACAAGCCCTACATTAGAGAAAAATCTAGCATGCGTCTTCAACACTACTTGCAGAAATCAAGGACAAGAAGTAACTGCTAAAAATTATACAAGGAAACGCTGCCTTCTTTTAAAAAGGTATAAGGAAATAATTACACTTATTAATAAAACACTGATATTCACAACCCACCTGAACTAAAACTGGCTTACATCTTCAGGAAAGAAGTCAAAAAACATTTCCTTTTTTATCTTAAAAAGCAGAGAGTGCCACACTGTCAAAGATAAACTGCTGCTGCATATAGATTTGAATCAACCTTCTTGTGCTTTCCATTCAGGGGATACAAAACACGAGGTCATGATTCCTGATAAACCGTTTACAGTTATCAGATGCCTGTAAAAATCAAGCTTTTTTTCCTACCTAATTTATTATGGAATCACTAAAACTACAATAAGATGTAAAATGTTTCAAGAAATTCCTGTGAGAAATACTTATGTTATTTTACAAAAAAAAAGGATTTTTCTTCAGTTCACTAATGTTCACCAATATATATGGTAAATGCACCTTGAGTATAAGAACTGCATGAAAACAGCCTGAAAAAAATAAAACATGGAAACTGATGTGTGAGACCATCGTCCCCTTCCTACTTCCAATTATTATTATTTTATTCTTTTTAAATACCACCACTGACAAAACCCAATTCAAGATATAGTCCCCAAACCCACACCAAACTGCTTTGCTTTGCTGTGCATCTTTTCCAGCAGGTTTTCACACCTGCTTCTTCAGACAGAGCATCTGGAGGCTACAAAAGCACAACTTGTACTTTTCCACCAGTCATGCTTATTTGTGTGACGTTTTTTCCAGATCTGGAAGTTTTTCAATTAGTGCTTTATGGTTCATGTTGATACTGGCTATAAGTCCTCCTTCATTGCCATCTGAGCCAGTGTAACTAATTTCTTCACCAGTCAGGGTAGTCATATGGCCACCCAACGCTTTCAACACTGCATTTCCAGCACATATGTCCCACTTCTTAATGTAGGTGACATGGATATACACGTCAGCTTCTTCTTGATTCTTTTCAGGCACGTCAAGGAGGGCCAACACTTTATAACCTAGAAAAAATGGGCAGAGGTAAAAAAAAAAAATTAAACCAAGCTTTCCAGTCAAAACACATTAAAAGAACAGGACCAGACACTCAAATATAGTTCTGCCCTTATGTTTACTCATTCATTTCTCAATTTCTGTATCATTCTCAAGTCTATCTTTTTCTCCCTGGCTTTTTACTACAATAAAAGGAAGATGTATACACCATTTTTTAATAAAGTAAATCAGCCCAGAGCATTCCCTGTTATTATTCATTATATAGTACAAAGTAATTGCTCAAAACAGTATTCATTCTTTTATGGAATTTTTTCAATTTTTCAACTCTTCTACCAATATTCTTGTTTCATTTATCTGTTCATTTCTTCATCTTCTTAAACAGAATCACCTGCTATAATCAGTTACACTTTCACTTTCTTTGTCATTTAGTCATTATCAAGAAGCAATACAAGACCTTCTTGACTAAACAATCTGTAAGGAAACTCTGGCTTTTGGCATTAAAGACACAGAAAGATACATTTCTGCAAAAATAAGGAAAAAAAAACCTAGTGCCTCCCATTTTTCTGTCAGTAAGACACACAAGGACATTTCGTAAGTAAAAAGTATTCTAAAATTTCTTTAAATTGAGTATTAGGCAGACAAAAATGGACTTTAGTGATACAAATTTTCTCTTTTGACATAAATGCAATAAACAGTAACAAACTTTAATGGCTCTTGTTGTTTTTTTTTTTTAAATCAACCATACTAACAGCTAACTAACAACCAACAGATTTTCTTCCCTGATTGTGCCTGTGGTCACACAACCCTTTTTCTCCCACTGAGGCATCAGTGCCTTCCATGAACACACATCAGTGTGTTTCAATGAAGGGATCACAGCAACATTCCTAGCCCAGGCATAGACTCAGTAACACACTGACTTGTGAACAGCCTGAAGTCTGAACCAAGTTTCCATGTAGGTTCCTAAATACAGAAAAAACTCTGTCTCTATCATCAAGTGCTTGCTTTCAGTGAAGATCATACGGCAAGAGGAAAAAGAGAAGACACCACAGAATATCCTTTTGTCTAGTAACAGCTCCACCATTGAAACACTCAGAAGCAAAAAATGGATAGGATGCTTAAAGAACCAAACCTGCTCCACCAGCGGGGATTATCACAGTTTTATTTCCAAATGTCTGCCGTGCAACCTGCTCAACTTTTCCTGCATGGGAGCGGGACACAATAATCCTTGGAGTCTTCTCGTTGTAGGAGGAACGAGCTTTTACGTTTGAACCACCATCCACCATTGCCCAAGCTACAAGAGAAACAAAAATTCTACTAAGACTTACAAAAAACAATCTCTGTTAAGTGTGAGGATAAAAGGGTACTTATTTAACAATATGTAATTGATACCTCTGACTGAATATCTCTCACTACTGTAAAAGAGAAAGTTAGGGCTGACAGAGGATGGGAGGCATACAAAGAGGCCACACACATTGGCATTATCCTAAGCCTGACTGGTCTTGTGTAATACTTCCAAAAAATAGAATAAGAAGGAAAAATCCCAAGTAGTTAATATACAGAATTTGCAATTGGAAAGCCAGCAAAGTTAAAAAGATGGCTCCTAGTCAGAAATACATCCAGTATTTCCTCAGACAATGTTTTTATGTAAGAACAAAAAGCCCTACGACCCTTTAAAGCAGATATGCTATGGGAGTCATTTTGTTCAGAAGGATAGTAATGCTAAAGAAGGAAATAGCTCAGGAGGACAGTGCTACAAAGAAAAATATTTGATGTTGTGTTTCAGAGAACAAAATTTAGAATCCACAACCTCCCACTTATTTCATCATGAAGTTCAAAGCCAAGCTTGGTAGGTGGTATGCCTTAACTATTAATCTGACATTTACTTAGTAAACTACCCAGCAAATTCATCTCAGTAGAGAACCAGATTGTTTGGCAACAGACTGAGCTCTGTGTAATAACAATGCTGACTGCCCTTTATTGCTTTGTATTTGTGTGGTAGTATTAGGAATAATGTGACTCAAAGCATATCAGTATTTCCAGCTTGGAAAATGAATACTTATCATGCAGAATGACAGAATTCATTGCATCTCCTCTGATTCCCTGTCTGAACATCGCACACTTCGCTATTATCAGCTATAAATTCTCAACATTACAATGCTAAAAACCCATTTCTTCAGATAGGTATTGATACCCAAAAAAATATGTTCCTAAACCTCCAAGATTCTTGAAGCATATTGCAATATAGTACATACTTAAATGACTGGTGATTAAATTCATATTTATATGCAAAATATAAATATGAATTTAATTCAGCAAAATATTTAGCACAAAATGTTGAGTGTTTGGTGAGCCAAAAAAGAACAACAAATACAAAATGCATTTATTCAGACTTAGTTTTTGTGCCAGAGCTACTGCAAAACTTCAGAACTCTAGAGGTCAGTATCGCCTAAGGGAAAAAGTAAACAGCAATTCCTGTTTTAAGTACACAGTAAGACATGAATACTTAAACTACTTTGAAGCTCTCAAAAGTGCATGCAAATTGCAGCAATGCTCACTGATACATCATTAATACTAAAGAATTAGTTACTTCACAGCTGTGGCATTAAAAACATGTCAGATAATCAATAAGACTATGCTAGACAGTCTTGCCTGTTGCACACAAACAGTTGTCATTAAGATTTTTATTCAATCTTTTTTTTATTCACACCAAATAAGCAGCAGCTCCTGGGTATATTATCACAGTTCCAACTATTCTGCTAAATGAGCAAAGCATTCTTTTTGCTACAAACTAAAAGCACACATCAAACCTGTCAGTATTTGTATGCTTAACTATTTTTTTGTTTGTTATAAGCACCCTAATTAAAGGGATCTTAGCTCTTTAAAATATTTTCAGTTAGTTTGTTCTAAATGCATCATTATTTATTTATTTTAAACAAGGGCAGCATTTTCCTTTGTGGTTTTGTAGCACAGAATGTATCTACAGCTCTAACTGTGTGGTCTGCTACAGTGCCCTTTTGCTACTGGTGCTATTTTCTCATTTATACCTAGAGATGTTCTCTCAAACATCAAATTTCAATTAATACTATGACTGACTATCATGGAAATATGTGAAGGCATGAAGATACCTGTGTATGATGAGAAGGGCTTGTGTATCACACCTATTACTGGTTTACCATTTACAGCCACACAAACCATGGTCGTGACATACTGTCGAAGATCCTCTGTGGGCAAAACAAGAAAGTGAGCAAGTTTACAATCGGATGCCAAGAACACAAAAGGAAAATAGACAGATTATTCAGATTATTCTCTGGAGACTAGTTTATATTCTGCCTCTTGCAGTTATGTAACTTTGATGTATCTTCAAATAACCTTTCAGTTTTCAAACTGCTCTGAAGACTTTTCAGGTTTCCAGCAATTTTTCCTGTTCAGTAGATGTAACCTATACTCCTACCAGAACTAATGCTAACAGCTGTGTCTTATGCAACATGTATTTTCATGGCAATCTGTGCCCTCCATTCTCCCTTCTCCGCCTCACCTCCTATCCTTTATTGGCTCAAAAATGGTAATTCAAAAACCAAAAAACATCCACTGGAAAGGACAATTCTATCAATTACCTAGTCACAAAAAAAAAAAAAACAAACCCGCTTTTCTAGCTGTTCCTTAGTACTTTTCAGCAAGAATTTTAGTTGGATTGCCTTGAACTGCTTATGTGACATCCTAAAACATTTGAAAAGGGGGAAGACTGAATTATGCATGCTTTTTTGAAAAATGACAACAAAAAATTTATTGTATCAAGTTAAATAGGATACTTACTTAGTATTACCTTTAAATAAACAAACCCAAAAATATAAGACACTCAGAGTTGCCACAGTAAGGACTAAAATAAAGAAATGTGTAATTCCAGTATAATCCATAATTGACAGTTACCATTTATTATAGCAATTAGTTACTTGTAAGGATACCAAAGTAATTTCAGAGTTGGAATATATAAAAGCAAATGTTGCAAATTGAGAACTACAGAGATTTCATGATGCAATCAGTTCAATTAAATCACGTTAGCTTTGACATAAGACACTTTAACAAGAGATGTCCTTTTACATACTTACTATCCTGTCTCCAGGGTAAAAGGCAAACATCAGAATTACACACATGATTTGTCAACAGGAATCAGCTACCTGTGTATTCTTGTGTAGCATCTAAGGGATCGATCCAGACAGTGACACTTTCTGCTGGCACCTCTTTAGGCTGTATTTTTTGCTTTATGTCTTCAGGAATACTGTGATCCCAGGAGACCGTCTCCTGATCAGCTGCATCAACACGCTCCTCAGAATTTATCTGTGGTGAGACAACAAAAGCAGTTGCATTAACACATCAGATACAGTAACTGCGGCACTTGGGAAAATTACAGGTTTATTACATTTACATTTTATCTTCCTTCATTCACCTCAAAGGCAGGAATTTTTTCATTATTATGGTCATGTGATAAGCAATGCAAAACCACAGTCCAGAATTTTACTGTGAACCACAGCACAGCTGGACACTGTTGCTTTGGCTGCAGGTCTCTCTACTGAACATTCCCAAAGTATGAATCATGATTTTTTAAATCAATATTTAAATGCAGTTGCTTCAAGCACTACAAGCAGAACGTTTGACTCTGGAGAATCATACAGTACACAGACAGTAGGGGGTCTAAAATTCAATTTATACAGACCAGTAGAAGCACATGGAAATGTAGAGATATACTATCACCAGATATTGTGCAGACTCTGCATGACTTGGACAAGAAGAAATCTTAATATATATATTCCTGCTACAAACACTGAGTTAAAAGTAGAAATTTAAGCAGCTCAGTTGAATTTAACCACTACCAAACTGTCAGACAAATTTATTTCACCAACAAGTAAGTAACATCCCATATCCATTTTTAGGGTAGGTTGGGGTAAGGTCCCAAGATGGCCCAGGAAGAACATTTATTAACAGCAGTCAAAAGTCACATTTAAGCCTATTGTCACCTGCTACCCAGCTTAATGAACTTTACTCCACACCAGAGGGCATTTCAGTACATCAAGCAGAGTTTGCCCTGTTAGTGGAGCACACAGCACCAATCTGTTGAATGGAGTAACATACTGCAAAACCCAACACAATGTCCTTGTGACTGCAATAGCACAATATTTCTGGATGACCAGAGACACAGTTGTCTCAAAAGTTGTAGGTAAGTGACATGGAAAGACAATGAAAATGAAGGAGCTATCAGACTACATTTGACTGTAACAGACTTTATATGAGCAGGATTTTTACATAACTCACATCATGACACGAAAAGGCATCACACACACCTCAACTGTAACAGGGTACTAGCGAAGGGTTAAGGGCCATTTTCTCCAAGAGAGCTCCAAATGAAAAAGGAAGCAGAACTCAGCAACTCCAGCCATACATCATAGCTGTCTTCTCACGTAAAACCAGTATTTGAAGCACTATATGCCAAACATGGAGCTCTTGAAGTTGCCGTGACATTTACAAATTAAACACCTGTCACTATACAATAAACCTGATGATTGCATTTTCCCCCAGGGAAAACAGTCCTGCAAAGTCAAGATGAGTAGTTCCACAGACTTGGCAGTCTCAACATGGCCCCTGGGCAGTCTAAGTTCCACTACAGCACATGACATACCATCATAAAAAAAAACATTTCCTCAACAGAAGAAAGGGGCCTCCACAAAGTTAAAGGGTTGGAACCAATGCTCAAAAGCAAGAATATCTTGTTAAACCTGTTGTTACAGTACACTAGAATGTAAAGTCTGAAACTATCTGAAAGGTACTGTTTTCAGAGAAACACCACCTACTAGCTCAGATTTTGTAGCAGTGGCTGTGACACTGAAGCATTTATAACGCTCATGAAGAGTCTCTCTCAACAGATATGATTATTCCACTAGAAAAAAAAAACTGGGGAAAGAGTGATAAGGTTGCAAAGACATCTGGAGAAAGTAAAAAACCCTACAGAAACAAAACCCCAAAGTGGGTCACTTATTCTTCCATTTATATGACCATTTACTCTGTAACTTTGGCTGAATACTTGCCTGAGAGGGGCTCACCAACCCTTTAAAACTTCTTTTATTCCTCCTGGTTTGTTTGTTGTTTTTTTTTTTTTTTGTCAATGAAGGAAAATATACCTGGAAAACACACCTCTGTGTTAATTCCATGTTCCTATTTGTCATTCTCATTTGCTGGCAGCCTCCAGAGGCCATGACCTTACACTTTAAAATTTTCTCAAGCAGTATGGATATATAGTTCACTGCAATCCCAAATCCTCACTCGGAAATTAGGAGTAGCTATGGTATAAAGACAATCACAAGGCCAGATATTTCAGGCACTAAGCCTTACTTAAGCAAGATGCTCTGGGGTTAATTACCTAACAGCTGTAAGGTGTAAAAGCCCATCTGGGGAAGCTCTGGAAGCTGAGCACTGACATGAAGGTTAACTACATTTTGGCAATCTTCCCCACTTACGCTTGAAGCAAAAGCCCTCCTCACAAAGAACTGCATCAAACACAAAGGTTTAATAAAATATATGTAAATCAGTGCATGGAATACTGCTGAAAAGTTAAAAAGAAAAAATACCACAAACCATTATTTCCTAAACAAGGCAGTCTGGCTGCATCTCACCAGTACAGAGCTTCCCCAAAACCAGCTTGCAAGGTGCAGGAATTCATAACAAATGAGGCATGCTGCTCATGGGAGCCAGCAGCAGAGGTCCAACACCAATACCAGGATCAAGATCATGGTTTGCCTTCCAAAACAGCCAGGTGTTTCCAGCCTTCGGAAACATCTGCACAGAGAACACTCCTGTCCAGCACGCTGGTGACTGGAACACAGATCTGCTCAGGAACAGGAAGCAAGACCAGTGTACCACAAACTTGTCTGGATAAATGCAGTGCTGTGAACAGCCAACAGTCCTGGCTGCCCAAAGACTTGAGAGAACCTCACAATGGCTCTTTGTCCTGTGCTGGTTTAGTCCCTAACAACACTTCATGCAGTCTTTGTGGCAGCTTATCACCCAAAAAGCCTGCTTGAATACTAGCTAGCTATCCCTGGCATGGTGCACAGCTTCAGGCTTTTTCTTGGTCTGAAAGAGTGGGACACAACTGTAGTTTTGCCTTTGAATTCACCCATCAAATGTAGTTAAAGTGAAAAAATATACACAAACACACGGCCTCTGATATCCAAATCTTAGTGCTGTTTCATTAGAAAATAAAACAAGCACAACACAAATTCTATCACACCTCTACTATAAAAACACCAATTAAGCTACTCAAGCTGAAAAAAAAAACCAAACAAAGAAACCAAAACAACATCCCCACACAGAGTTCAGGTAACAAGAAAAGTTAACATTTACCAGTCAGAATAAGAACATAAGAGTATTCCTGGTATTACCTTTCAAAAACAGATTGGAACAGGTTGACCAGAGAGGTAGTAGATGCCCTATCCCTCAAGTATTCCAGGTCATGTTGGATGGGGCTCTGAGCAATCTGACTGAGTTGAAGATGTCTCATCTCATTGCAAGGAGATTGGGCAAGGAGACTAGATGGCCTTTGAAGGTCTCTTCTAACCCTCATCATTCTGATTCTATGACTCAATAGATAAGTCTATTGATTTGAACAGAAAGGAAATGAAAAGCCTGCAGGCCTGCAAGCCTGGAGTGTGCACAGGGAAACATTAGTAAAACATTAATAGGTGATTGTTTTTGTTTTGTTGGTGCATGACCAATTTGTTGCTGCATGACCTACACAGCCACTTCACCAGTGATTATCATGCCCAAGATCATGATCATGCATGCCCAAGACTCAGCTTTGCCACCTGTATCCACCCAACATGAGATGGAGGAAAGAGTGGAGAGACAAAAGTAAATGCAAACATTTGCAAACAATAAACCAACAGTGATTTCAACACCATCTTTCTGAGTGACTGAGAGATGTCCTCTGTGGATGGTGGAAGATACTTTATAATTACATATACTTTCTGTACTAACGTCTAGAGCAACCACTAAGAGCTCACATTCATGTCTGTCCAACCTGGTGGCCTTCTAGATGGAGTGAGTGCAACAGTTGACAAGGGTGCCAAGACCAACTGGTGTCACCTACCTAGACTTCTGTAAGTCCTTTGATTGGGTCCCACATCACATCATTATCTCCAAATTGGAGAGACATGGATTTAAAGATTATTCAGTGGATAAGGAATTGGATGGACGGACACAGCCAGGAAGTTTGAGTCAACAACTTGTATGTCCACGTGGAGATCAGTGATGGTCTCCCTCAAGGCTCTGTTTTGGGACTGGTGCTCTTTTACATCTTCATCAATGACAATAGTAAGATCAAATGGACCCTCAGCAAGTTTGCAGATGACATGAAGCCAAGCAGTGCACTTGACCCAGCAGAAGGAAGTGAGTGACCTGGACAAATAGATACTTCCAGTATGGAAATAGATTTTCTGAGGACAATATCTAATCTACCCTGGTTACAAAACAAGGCTCCAGAATCTGTCACAGAGAGAGGGGTGTGCTTTCACACCAAGATCACACTAAGACTTAGCTCACCTGCATCCAGGACTATTCATGATCCCTCCCCTTCCAACTTTCAGATTCGGGGGTGGTGAATGTCAGTTTTCACTACGAATGAAAGCTGCTTCTTCAAAGCTTAGGTTACTTAACTCTGAAAATAATGCAAACTGTAGAATCAAAGTACCACTTATTTTTGTAAATTCCAAATGCCTTTAAGCTTTAAAAAATTTGAATAGTAGCCTTACCAGCATTGGATAAAAAAAAACATAAAAACCTTGGTTTTATTCAATACATTGACATTTTTAAACCCAGCTGCTTGCTTTTGAAAGGGTCCTTTTCCTCCTTAAAGGATTACCACAACTTATTGGAAAGGAAAAATAAGCTTTTACAGATGATCTTCATGCCTTTCAAAAATGTCCCTCTTGCCAAGGTTAAATTTACATTGCTTTAGTAAGGCAGATTTTGTTACAAAAGGAAAGAAGACCTTGCAGAATCATATGGTCTTCTGGGAAAAAAAAACACAAAAAAACAAAAAAAAAAACTTATTAAAAGGTAATTATGTTTAGAAACTATAAGTTTAAAGTGCTAACTTTTAATTAAGCTTAAAACTATAAAGCATATTTGTATATAAATGTGTAAGGTATAAAATCATATAAATGTATAAAATAATCAGAGGCATAAAACTCACTGGTCTCATGTTGCCATTGATTTGATCAGAAAACAAGTATTTCTATAATTATACCACAACACTGAAAAAGGATACATGCCTTTTTCAAGGCACC